AACCCAACCCAACCATCCCAACCCAACCCAACCCAACAATCCCAACCCAACTCAACCCAACCCAACAATCCCAATGCCCATCCTCATCCTCACCGGCGTGCCGGCAGGCGGCGGCAAAGACGATGATGTCGTCGAAGGCGCCGCTGTAGCCAGGCGGGGGCGGGTGGAAGGCCAGGCTCTGCGAGCGCTCGCGCCGCAGGTCCAGCAGGAAGGTGGAGTGCACCATCGGCACCGCGAAGCAGCCCCGGCGCTCCCGGCGCCGGATCGGCAGGTAGGCGGGGGTGCGGCGGTAATAGCCCTGCGGACGGGAGTGACCACCAGAGTGACCACCAGAGTGACCACCAGGTGTGACCACTGGGAATGGGGAGTGACCACTGGAGTGACCACTGGAAGTGGGGAGTGACCACCAGGAGTGACCACCGGGAGTGACCACTAGGAGTGACCACCGGGAGTGACCACCGGGAGTGACCACTGGGAATGGGGAGTGACCACCAGGAGTGACCACTGGAAATGGGGAGTGACCACCAGAGTGACCACTAGGAATGGGGAGTGACCACCAGGAGTGACCACCGGGAGTGACCACTGGGAATGACCACTGGGAATGGGGAGTGACCACTGGGAGTGACCACCAGGAGTGACCACTGAGAGTGACCACTGGAATGGGGGGAGTGACCACTGGGAATGGCCATTGAGAACAGGGAGTGACCACTGGGAGTCACCATTGGGAGTGACCACTGGAATGAGGGAGTGACCACTGGGAATGGGGAGTGACCACTGGAATGGGGGAGTGACCACTGGGAGTGACCATGGGGAGTGACCACTGGAACGGGGGAGTGACCACTGGGAGTGACCACTGAGAGTGGGGGAGTGACCCTGACAGTGCCACACCCTCACCTGTGCCCCATTCTCACCTGTCAGTGCCCCTCCCTCACCTGTGTCCCACCTGACCCGTCCGTGCCCTCACCTGGGGGGTGATGCCGCACCAGAAGTTGGAGTAGGCCGCGCGCGAGTCGAGCATCGGGGCCACCACGGTTCTGTTCTCGGCCACCAGCACGGCCAGCGTGTCGGGGTTCACCAGGACATTGTCTGCGTCCAGGAACTGGGACGGGGGGACATGTGACATACCTGTGACACACCTGTGATACCCCTGGGACACACCTGTCACACACCTGGGACACCTGGGACACATCTGGGACACTCCTGTGACACACCTGGAACACCTGGGACACACCTGGGACACCCC